CAACAGGCGTTTTCACTGTGTAGTTTTCTATGTCCAAGTCAGAACCTTTTGTGATTTTGAGAAATATGATGAAGAGTCCCTGGCAATGTGTGTCAGTTACTTCTTTCTTAGTTCACTAATAATTTATCAACTACCTACTATGTGACAATGCTGACACAATGTCACACATACTTACTATGTGACAAAAGATTGACTTTATTGTTAGTAGAAGGGAGGAGAATATAACAGTGCGGTATTTTAAAGCAAACACTGCCTTACACAGTTTTGTAAGCTCACAGCTCCCTTGCATGCTCATTTCCTATGAGCACAATGCACATTATGTGCACGTGTGTTACGTGAGCACATTATAAATAAGAAAATATGCTAGTTGCCACTCTAGACGCCGGTACTTTATACAATTCTCTAATAAACACATCACAATAACTTTATGAACAGAAGCTATTCTAGTTTTCACTGATAAGGAAATAGAGGATTAACAATATTAGTATCTTTGCTCAGGGTCATGTAAATAATCATTTGTTACCAGTACTTATTTGTTTCCCTAAAAGCAGGTGATGGGCCATTTTGTTATCTGTTCAACCAAACACTTTGGAGATTTTTTTAAAAGGATCATTCTTTCTGGGATCATTTTTGTTCAAAGACGTAACTAAAATACTCTCTTAAGTTTGCCCCTAAGATCCTAGGTTTCAATCTTGGGTTATACTTGGCAACTATTAAGACAGCAGTGTTCAGCAGGAAGCCCAAGGACAAAGCTGTCATCTCATCCCTTACTCAGCCTTCTCCACTTTACTGACCTATCCAGGGGCTCATCCTTTCTTCCAACCTACCCATTTCAGAATATTTATTTAATTAGACTAGAAAATCAGCATCCATGAAGATCAATAACAAAAGAGCTGGTAGCTGGATTTAAAAAAATCTGAACAAGTAATTGAATACACTCACACACACACACACACACACACACACACACGTGTGTGTGTGTAACTTTTTTTGGCAGTGATCAGGCTCATCATGGTTGTTGTTAGGTGCCACTAAGTCAAGTATGACTCATAGTGACTCCATGAACAACAGACCTGAACCCTGTCCTATCCTGTGCCATCCTCATCACCCCTGATACACTTGAGCCCATTGCTACAGTCATGGTGTCAACCTATTGTTGGGATCTTCCTTTCTTTCTCTTTTTACCTTTCCAAGGAATAGCCTCTCCTAGCAACATGCCTAAAGTATGAGAGATAAAGCTTCATCATCTTTGTCTCTAAGAAGCACTCTGGTTGCACTTTTTCCAAGACATATCTGTTCTTTTGTCAGTCCATGGGATATTCAGTATTCTTCTTCAAAACCACAATTCAAAGGCATCAATTCTTCTGTCATCTTTATTCACTGTTCAGCTCTCAGGTGCAGAGCAAGTGATTGAAAAGACCATTCATTGAATCAGGCACACCTTAGTCTCCAAAATTATATCATTGCTCTTCAGTATTTTAGAGGGGTCTCTAACAGTAGACTTGTCTAATGCAATATCTCTCCTGATTTCTTCACTGTTGGTACCAAGGGTGCTGAGTGTTGATCCAAGTAAGATGAAATAATTGGTAATTTCAATCATTTCTCTATCATGATGATCCAATGGTGACATTTGTTTTCTTGATGTTGGGATGTAATCCATATTGAATTCTGTAGTTCTTGATTTTTCTCTAGCAAGCATTTTAAGTCTTCCTCACTTTCAGCAATCTAAGTTGTGTCATCTGCGTAACACAGGTTGTTGGTGAATCTTCTCTGACCTTGTGCTGCATTCCTCTGAAGCAGAACAGACTTCCATAGGGCAACCAAGGAGGTCAGCTGTGTCACCACCCATCATGGTAGGAACTAGAATGTCTGAGGTAGAAGGAACCTTAGAGACTATTTAATACAACTCCTTATTTTTCGGTGAGGCAACAAGTCCAGGTAAGCTGAGCTGTGCCTAGTTACATTTTGCCTTCTCTTTTTCCTCTCAGAAACTTTGCCCATGTTCCTAAACAGCCAGTTTTTCTTGCCTGACTCAAAGTTTCACTGAACAGAGAGAAAAATAAAATGGCACATTCCAGAATGAAATAAAACTTGGGTCACTTCTATTCTTTTGTTTTTTTATTTTTATTTTTATTTTTTTTATTTTTGTGTGCGTGTACCGTCAAATTAGATCTGACTGGTACAGGAGGAGATTGTCCCTCCTTCCCCGGCAGAGCATCTGGTGGATTCGAACCGTGCGCCTCTGGGATACTTCTATTCTTTCAGGTGTGAGGTAGACTGCAGAAGTTGTATACAACTAATTCTAACAAAGAAAAGGGCTAAACTGTAAATTATTTAGGATTCATGTGAGGAAAAATTTCAGAAAGTAGGAGTGACTGAACTTCTGAATAAACAGATGGCTGGGAATGGTAGTGGAATCTCCTTTATTATCTGTTTGAATTGGTTCATTTATGTTTCTTAGAGGCAAATAAATGGATTGGGTGGCCTTTTAAGGTTCCTTCCTGTGTGAGGACTTTTATTGAGTTAGGTAATATAACAAAGGGAAATCCAATCTCTAATGCTCCCCAAGCCAACGTTAACTGGAATGAAGCTTTATGAGGGACATTTTAGTTGAGCTGCAGGAATTAGCAACCTGAAGAAGGGAAGCAACAGGAATAGCTTTTGGGAGAAGAAATGTGTTAAGATAATATAAGGGATGAAAATGGACCCTAGACCTTCCAGAAGGATGGAGAAAGTAACCAATGAAATCAGGGCAGTGAGGCATTCTCACTGAATTAGACTCTCAATCATTAGCTTTTAGTAATGGAAGAGGGCTGGTTTAAAAAACAAGTGAGGGAGGTTCCTTGTGTCCTTGGGATCTCTTAAAAACACAATACTGCAGACAGCTTTGTATGGAAGGGCAGGTCACAGCACGGCCTCTTCTAACTGGAGGAGAGGGAACCCCAGTGAGAAGCCATTAACAAAGGCGAAAGACATGCAAAACAAACAAAATAATCATGACAGAGGGAGAAGGCCAGCAGACAGTCTGGCTCTGTTTTGTCCCCCCTCCTGCTGCAGGCACCTCCAGACAATGTAAACAGTTAATTTGTTCACCTGCAGGCTCTGGGCAAACAGAGGCCTGGTCACACCTGAGCGGATAACTCGATTACCCCTGTAATGCCAGCGTGGTAATGTACACAAATTCTATTACACGGCAAATCTTGCTTTCGGGCATTTGAAATACCAATCAGGCCAATGTCCACTCCCTTCTTTGCTTCCAATTTATTTTTGGTATATTGGAACTGCTCTGAAATGGCACCGGGGTAGCATTGAGTTAGGAATATGGAAGAAATCACTAGAAGGTTATGATTTTATTCAGCAGGGCCTGCAGGCCTCTTACTTGCTTTTTAAGGGCTGGGCCTAAATTTTGTCCTTGTTTAAAGGGGATTCCTTGGAACCGCAGAAAGGTACCAAAGATAAGACTTGGTCTATTCCTTAAGGACTTCATGCTGTATTTTACACCAAGCCAAACAGCTGATCAAGGCACTAACATTCAGAGGACAAAGAGGAATGAATGGTAAAGGATGGGTTAAGCAGCAAGTGACTCTAGAGTTTTGTTTTTATGGAAGTATTTCCCACCAATCCACATATTCAGCAATTAAAGAGCAAACTGGTCCTATTTAAAAAAAAAGTTAATAGGGATTCACTGACCACATTAAAAAATAATCTTTAAGCAACTTCTTTCAGGGACAGAACCCATTATCCTAGATCATTTTAATATAGACTTGCATGAGCTTTGTTTAAAAAGATGATGCTACAAATCTCCAACAGTAGCTCATGATATTTCAATTTTTTCTATCACTGATAAGCAATGATAAATTCATGGTTTTAAAATGTTATTTAGAAATTATTTTTGTTTCTAGTCCAGTTTTTTATGATCAACAACACTACTTGTGAGATGATTACATGGGACTTGGGGTTAACCCTGAGGAAAAGAATAAAGTTAGTGTGTCCATGTGGGGTTGGAGCACTAAACTGGCCTTATCAGTAGTTACTCAAACTCACTGAGCTAATGATTCTTGATCCGTAGCTTCCCCACTACTGAATTACGTTACAAGATTGCTCATCTTGCCTGAATTTTTAAAATCGTACCATAAGGCAATAAATGATAAACATAGTAATGATCTTTAAGTACCAAAAGATTTTGAAAAAGATCAAGTTATTATTTTGCATAGTTTTAGCATGATATCTAAGGAGCCCTGGTGGTGCAGAGGTTAAGCACTCAGCTGCTCACTGTAAGGTTAGTAGTTCAAATCCACCAGCAGCTCCTAGAAAGAAATATGTAGCAGTCTGCTTCTGTGATGATTATAGCCTGTGAACTCTACAGGGCATTTCTACTCTGTTCTATAGTACTGACATGATTTGGAATTGATTGGATAGCAATGTGTTTGGTGTTTCGGGATCAGTATTATGTCTGTTCCATTTTTAAAACTTAAAACTAGTTCTTGAACCTAAATTTTCAATAAAAATTTCCACAGCAATCATAAACAAATGAGAATTTACTCTGTGTTTGAGAGAACCAAGTAATACACACAAGACAAATAAATGAATTGGAATAATCTGTACTATTAAAAGGGGGTTCTGGTGGCCTAGTGGTAAAGAGTTGCACTGCCAATCCAAAGGCAGATGGTGTGAATCTACCAGTTGTCCACAGGAGAAATATAGACAGTCTTCTACCATGTGATTTGTTGTCATTGTTGAAGAGTACCATTGATTCGGAACCAACCCATAGCTGACCCTCCAGCGTGTTTTCAGAGGCAGCTAACTGAATGGTAAGAAACTGCCCATTCTTCTCCCACATGTGATTTAGAGCTTCTGAAAACCTGCTGGAGGGTCAGCTACTTGTCAGTTCTGACTCATTCACACATAAAAACAACAACAACAAAACACCACCACCACCACATCATCAAAAGTCAAAAAAATAAAGTTTTGATTCAAGCCTCAAACTTTTATGTTCTTACCTTGCTCAGAATTCGGATGAGGTCACCTCGCTGGAAGGACAGTTCATCTGGCTGGTCACCATGACAATCCCATAGGCCCTGATAATAACTGGCATAGTCCACTGAACAAAAGGAGGAGAAATAAAAATTAAAGTGTAAAAAAAAAGTTTACTGCATATGGAAACCAGGGTTCTGATATCTGGAAACCTGAGATACAGGGGGTCAGGATGAGATACAGCCAAACATTCGGCTTTAGCAAAGGACTGTGGGAGAAGAGGATCATTAAATAACATTAAATATTTACAGATCAGCCCTAGTAAGATGCTAGTCAGTAAAATGATAAATATATTTATTAATAAAAGAAAATCAGGCAGGGAATTTTTCACTTGGTTTGTAAATAGGCAGCTTCTCTGCTAGACTTTCTTGATGCAGGACACCTAAACTCTGCAGTGTTTCTTTTCATCATACATCTGAAGGATCAGGGTAAGTCTCGGACTGCTGCTTATTTAAAAAAGAGGCTGAGTCAGCCAGCATGCTTCTGAACTGAAGCCTCCCATTTTGGCCTCTGTTACATAAGAACTTCATCCTGGATACTTCCTTCCCACCCAGGTACTATATGATCTAAACACCAATAAATACTGACATGGACGACCCAGTCTTTAAGTGGCACCAAGGGGGTGTCTCATCTATTACAATGAAATTCTGGGTGGGCGCCCTTTTCCAGCATCTCATTTGTAGACCCTGAACATGTCTGCCAAGATTTATCTGCAAGCCCCCAGGGGAACAGAAACTAAAGTGATCTGCATTAAAAATGAAAGCAACCGAAGACGACAAACTAAGCTTTAGAAGCAGCTAGAGAGATTTACTGGGCTTCTCAGCAAGACTAGATGGCAATGATGCCACTGGACAGCCATCGATTCTTAACAATGAAGAATTTATATTGATCTTCTTCTACCCGGAAAGGTTAAACACTAGAGTACAAAATGGGAGAGGATCTGGGGATTTGAATGGCAGAAGAACTAAAGCCCACTGGACCAGTAATATGATGGCAGTGTTCTTCATTTCTCTGGATGTTAGATATGAGAGTTGTGAATAAGAACCCTAGGAAGGATAAAATTCCTGTCAATAAGAATCAAGAGTTCTGTCTTCTAATTAAAATTCAAGTGATGGGGGTTATCTTAAGAATTTCTACATTCTTTTTCTTCATTTGTCTTGACTGTCCTATAAGTAGTGATGCTACTGGTCATTGAAGATGGGAACAGGGAAGAGGCAAATAGGCAGTGAGTGAATGGAGGCCCTAACCATATTTGCCATCTTGCTCTGTTTCTGTTGCCACCTTACAAGCAATTCAAATAATACAGGCTCAGTGGAACAAAATCTTTATGTGTCACTGGAAATTTTTTAGAGTTTTAGGAGAAGTTTAAAGTGCATTAAAATAAGAGAGAGTTATTTAGTTAAGACTGAGACATTGCAAATAGAAAATGTTTACCACACCGAAACTCAGGCATGTTTTCGTTACACAGAAAATTGTGCAGTAGACAACAGAGGGCAGCAAATAAAGCAACTTCAATGAAAACATTCTGCTGGAGTAAGAATATATTTGGAAGAAAAATACATTGGGAGAAAAATGATAATTATTGAAAAGATAAAATATATATTTTTTTTAAACTATAAAAGAATAGAAAAATACCAGTTCCTGAAAAGTGAAAGCAGTTTTCCCAAAGGATATATGAATGCATTTTCAGTTATAACAGAATTGATGAATCCTCTCAGGATTTTGACTAAATTAAGGAATAAAAAAATATTGACATCAGTATTCTCTGTGGATTTACAGATTCTTCATGGATTTCTATGTCATAAGCCATTATTTTATAAAAATATATTTTTAAAAACATAACTTGATATTTCTGAATGGCAAGAAGACTGATACAGTTATCGAGGTTAACAGACACAGTCACAGCATGTCTAATGTGGGGCAGTTCTTAAGATTATGGATAGCTTCTGGGTGTACATGTAAAAAGTGATTTGATATTGGGTAGATAAGGGAAATAGGAGAGCAGCTGGAAAAAAGCATATTGCAAAAATATAAAAGATCACAGGGAAGGCAAGAAGCTAGGAAGGAACTAGAAACCTTCCAGGAAAAAATAAAAGGCCTTCAGTTCTTCAGAAGCAATAGGCCAAAAGCTTAGGAATCCAGGATAGAGTCCCGTTTAACCTTTGAATAGGGGTAGTCATAACCATTATGATAAAAATATAGCTCTAAAAATAAGCAGGATTAAGGAATAAAAACTAAGAAAAACCTAGGCTATCTACATGGAGATATTTTGGTATTAAGGAAATCAGAGAGTTAATTCTGGACAACACTAGATGTGGACTCCCTGTTTAACACATGTGTGATTTGCATTTATATGTAGGTATATGTGCATCTCTACTTCAATCCTTTCTCAGTAGTCAATAAATATGTACATAGTAACAAGTGTCAGGGACTGTGCTACACAGTAGGACTGATGAAGTGAGCCAAACAAGGTGGGGGGAGGCAGTCACAGAACAGTTATGAAAATATTTATTTATTTATGATGACAAGATGTTTGTGAAGAAGTTGAAGATAGTATGGATATCAGGGAGTCTAACTTAGTCTGAGGGGTCAGGAATGGCTTCCCTGAAGCTTAAGCTTTGAAACACAAACCTGGGTGAGTGGATATTAGGTAAAGGCTTGAAATAGGGGACGAGGTGAGGCAGAAAGGGCTTTATTCTGAAAGTTGGCCTGAGAGAAAATCTGAAGGCCTCTGTGCTTGAAGGCCCTGCAGTTTGCAGATCAGTCCAGCTACTCCCTAAACTTGCCCAGCTCATCCTATACACGTTAATGCTGTTGTTGTTAGATGCCATCGAGTGGACTGTGACTATATGAACAACAGATTTCAACTTTGTCCTAATCATCTCTGATATGCTCGAGCCTGAGGAGACTGAACATATCAGAACTGTGAGAGGAACTGAGAGTCTGTGCGAGAGGCTCCATCCATCTGAGGACTGGGTTTAGGTCTTTAGGTTTACACTTCTCTGGCAGCAGTCTAAGATCAGAAATGGTGCAGGATTCTGACCATTTAATTAATTCAAAAACATCCCCATTCTCATTTTGAGGACATTATTCCATCTAATTATTTTTTTCCAGTCTGTCCATTTGGAATGAAAAACAAAAGAATAAAGCTTAATGCCAGCATTTCTCAATGTCTCTCCAAAAAAACGTAACTCTGCACTAAATAAAGCCTGGTAATTCAAAAGCAAAGTACTAATATATTCAGCATAAAACAGACAGAGGACCTAGAGCAATAAAGACACCACTAATAACTAAAACAGTTATAACAATTAACAACAATTACAATGATAGAGAAGCTAATGGGTATGATCACTGCATTTAAATTACTAGCAGAGCTGAGAAGGACTTTTTCAGGGGGTAAAAAAAAAGCAGCAACATCTTATTCTGTTTTTTATCCCATATAAGAGAAGCTAAGCTCCAAGCAAACAAAATGTTGCAAGAAGAACAGCAACAGAACAAGCTAAAAAGCAGTATTGCTTTCTCTTTTCTCTAGGTATTAATTGCAAAGCATTAGTCATTCCATGCCAAGTTCTTTATAACCAGTGATAGTCATTTCTTCTGTAACTGAGGCCAAGTTGGTGCTACTGTTGATGGAGTCAATATTTGAAAAGCAACCTCCATGGTGTGGAGAGTTCTATAGTACAAGGCCAAGAGACCTTTTTGTTTCTCCTCCTCCTGAGGAACAACAGAACCTGACCATGTTCCTTTTAAAGCTCATCTTTCACTTTAGGCTTTTGTTTAAGGGAGGCTGAGTAGCTCCTGAATTCAAGCTGTGACCAGAGAAAAAGAGAGTAAAGGGAGGCTAGCAGGTTGTTTACATTTTCTTGATGAGCAAAAGGACAGTGCCAATGAGGCCTGGAACTGGATACAGCCACTTGACAAATGAAGAAAAAGACAGACCAAAATGAGAAGTTGGATAAAGTTCTGCGAGAGCATGGCATGGTAAAACTTGGAAAAAGGAGGCCAAAGATGTGGCCTCATTGGAAGGGAGTGACAATGCTCAGTGCAGATACCTAATTCTTAATTCTTTCAGAAGGAAAGGTATGAAACAAGTCACCAAATTCCTTTTACGAGGGATGTTGTTGTTATGTGCCATGGAATCACCTGCGACCCTATGTACAACAGCCCTACACTGTGCGCTATCCTGTGCCAGTCTGTCTCTGACACACCTATCCCTGTTACCCCAGTGATGGAATCAATTGATCTCATTGACGGTCTTCCTCTCATGCACTGTCCCTCCACCCTCCCAAGCATGATATCCTTGAAGGACTGGTCCCTCCTTGCAACATGTCCAAAGTACGTCAGATGAAGCTTCAGAATCCTTGTCTCCAAGGAGCAGCCTGGCTTCACTCTCTCCAGGACAAACTTCTTTGTTCCCCTAGCAGTCCATGGTATAGTCAATACTCTTCTCCAGCACTAAAGCTCAAAGGCATCAACTCTCCTTCTATCATCCCTAGTCATTGTCCAGCTCTCTGCAAGTAATTGCAAAGACCATGGCCTGTATCAGACGCACTTTAAGTTTCCAGATACATTGCTCTTCAGTACTTTGGAGAGGTCTCTGACAGCAGACTTTCCCAATGCAATTCGTCTTTTAATTTCCTGGCTGCTGGTTCCCAGAATGTTGATTGTAGAGCCAAGGAAACTAATGCTGTCAACAATCTCAATCTCTTCACCATCTATCATGATGTTGCCAGTCGGCCCAGTGGTGATAATCTTTGTTTTCTCGATATTGGACTTCAATCCATATTGAAGGCTGCAGTCTTTGACCTTCTGCAGCAAGCGCTTCAGGTTCTCCTCAGTTTCAGCAAGAAGGGTTGTGTCATCTGCATAACACAGACCTACCTCCAATCCTGATACCACACTAGAGCAAAAATAGCAATGCAATTTTCTTAATTTAAAGATTTAAAAAAATTCCTGAGTTTTAAAGTGACTATGGTCTTAATGTTATAATATGATTTTTTGGAAGTGAGGCCTCAAATACTAATTTTCATTATATTTGCTCCTTTTATCAGGCCAAAATTTTAACTGGTTGATAATTACTCAGTGGTTTTGGGAAGTCGATTTCAACTTGCAAGAGCTACAAAGGCCTTCTGTGACCTTCTTCCACTTCTTTAAGGTAATAACTCACTGTACTGGTGGCACTAAGATAGAAATGAAAACCTGGGGAATGCTCTGTCACTGACTGAAAGGTTGGAGATTTGAGTATACCTTGATGCATCTCAGAAGAAAGGCCTGGTTACTTACTACCAAAAAACCTGCAATGGAAAACGCAATTTATATTATTAATGGAAAATGCAGAGCACAGTTCTATTTTGACATACATGAGGTGGCCATGAATCAAACTTCATATAAAGTTATAAAGTTGACTTTATAGCAACTGGCCTGAAAAGGAGAATGCCTCAGAGATATAATGCTCACAACCAATCTTCCCCCCACCCCTTCACAAAAACGCTGAGCTCCTCTTTGGCCTGAAAATGTTAATAATTTCAGAGCAGAAGGAACCTGTTTCAAGATCTTCCTTGATCAGGGATTCCACATATATAAAGATGCATCCAGACTTTTTTCTTTGATATAACACATCCAATAAATAGCTAGTAATTTTAATGTAAATAGCACAAAATGAGTTTTTCTGTAAACTGTATTTTCATGATAAGTAAGTAGAAGAAGGAAGGCCCTCAGTCGTGTTAGAGTGCTAACCTGCTGTTGTGTGCTGTTGAGTCAGAACTGACTTACAGCTGACCCTCTAGTAGGTTTTCAGAGTTAGTACATCACATGAGAGGGGACAGCCCATCTTTTTCCCTTAGAGAAGCTAATGGATTTGAACGGTGTGCCTTTGTATTGGCAGTATAGTTCCTTACCAATAGGCCACTATAGCTCCCTTGAGAGTGCCAACCTAATGGATTGGAATTCAGTGAAAATTAGAGGTGCTGAAAAATCACTCATTAAAATAACCCTGTTACTAACAGTCATGTTGTAGATGGAGCTCTTTATAGATTGAAAAATCAATACTACAAGACTGTAATAGATTTTTTAGGTAACGGAATAAAATAAAGGAATTCCATCTTAGAGCGTCATTAACACCCAATAAGAATAAAGTGAATTCCTTCCTCCTCTTCTGATAAGATCTTGTTGGGTCTTAAAAATGTCAGCCATTCCATTATGGAAAAGCACAACATTCAGGGAATAGTGCACCCCTGGAATGGTGATCCATAGAATGTGAGCCAAATGGAACGGTGATACAAGTAATGAATGGTGGGGCCACAGGAATTTCTATGAGAAAAGACAAGAGGGATAAGGACAACCTGTTTATAAAAATCTTCCTCCAAAAAGTATGTTAACACTTGAGAAAAATGAAGTAATGTAACACTGCTTATACGATAAGAATTCACCACAGTCCCAGAGCCATATGCCTTCACGGGGGTTGCCCACCTTTCTCCTGGACCTCTACATTTTATTGTTATAAAGCTAAATGATGACATTTGGATGTTACATATTTGTTGTTGCTTCTATAGCTCCTTTGGAAAAAAGGCGTTATATAAATTCAATAAATAAATAAGTAAACACAAATAATAAAAATTCCTGCCTAAGATTCTGCAGAGAGAGCGAAATGCCCTTCTCTGCTTTTTAATCACTAAGTCACCAATCATTATAACTAGTGGGAAGTATAAACCAGAAAAACATATTTAGAGCTCGCTACATTTAACAACACCTATTTTGTTGGTGGCAGGAAGTATGAGGAACAAAAGGGTTTTTTTTAAACCTACTTGAATTATAGCTCCTGGAACAGTCCAGAAATAAATCTCCCCTCACCCTTCAGATAGAGAACCTTAAAGAAAAAGGCGGAAGAAGGAAATGAGATGAGGGAGGAGTCTGAAACTGAATTTTAGACATTGCCAGAACTCGGCAGCTTCTTGAATGGAGTTTATAGAAACGTAGCAGCAGGAATATTACAGTTTTCCAGCAAAGCTGTCCACATGAAGCGTTGCTTTCCTGATTTAGTGACAAGGTTGGTTGAGAAGAGACTTAGTGTGGTAAAGGTTAGTCAAGGAACAACTTTACTGTTGGAATTCTATACAGTGAGCAGAAAATACTGTCGGAATTCTATACAGTGAGCAGAAAACAGTGACTATTCAATGTCTGATCACTTGGATAGGTTTAAAAAATGACTTCATTATATGCGTTCGGTGCTCTCAAGTTGAGTATGACCCATAGCGAACCTATGTACAACAGATCTGAACTCTGCCCTATCCTGTGCCATTCTCACATTTCGTGACCCGTTAGAGTCCATTGTGGCAGTCACCACGTCAGTGATCCACCTGGTCGAGGGTCTTATTCTCCTTCGCTAAACTCCACCTTTCTGAGCACCATGTCCCTCTCCAAGAAATAGCGCCTCCTAGCAACATGCCAAAAATATGTGAGGTAAATTGTCAGCATTTTTGCCTCCAAAGAGCACTCTTATTGCACCCTCTCCAAAGGGAAATAAATACATCTAAAAGACATATTTATTTGTTGTTCTGGCAATTCATGGGATGTTCAGCGCTCTTATCCAACACCACAGCTCAAAGACATCAATTCTTCTGTTATTCACTATCCAGCTCTCAGATGCATAGCAAGTGATCGATCGGAAAGACCATGGCCTGAATCAGACCCACCTGATAATGTGTTAATTTTGATGAGGTATTTGGAGCTATGCTAATGTTTGTTTCTGCATCATGCTCACCTAGCTTGCTGTCTTATGCTCCTCTTTTGACATTTGACTTCTGTAGCAGCCTCTGTATTGTCTTTAATTTGCCCTGGGAGAAGGTGGATCCTTTAAAGTATTCACTTCTTACAGAGAGCAAACAAAGAAACAAGAGAGCTTTGCTCAATAATAAGAAAAGGCACAAGGAAAGGAGAGAGGCGAATAGGTAAAGGTAGAACCAGAGAAATTAGAGACAAAAGAGAGGAAAAAGAAGTCCTAGATGTTAAGATTTTTACAGAATCTCTAGGAAAAATCAGCTATTATCTAAATCATCCACAATTCTAGCCCTGCTGATGAAACAAATGTCCTTGTGGTGGCCCCTGCCATGCACAGCGCTCCTTCACTGACACTGAATGAACAGGTCCATGGTGAGGGTTTTCTACCACTTAAGGAGACTTTAGTGGGGCAGCTGACCTTAGAAACGATGGGCTCACTAACAGCCTGAAGCATGGTTAACAGTCTAGGATGAATAAGATGTAATTTTGTATTCAAAAAACCTGTTACATATTCATTTCTAAATGTGCCTGGAATCAGACCAGGCCATCAGATATCAGCATCGTCAAGTCATTCTATCCTTCATCCCATGTTCACTTTTCTGGCCTGAGACATTTCCATTCCCTGCCGAACTTGTAATCTCCGGGCCTCTTAGAGAAGAGACACTTCCATCCTTTCTATTCTCAATCCTCCAATCTCTTAGAGATGAGGCAATTCTATTTTCACTGTACTGATTTAAGAAATACTGATAGGAAAAAAAAGAAATATCTGGTTTGGCTTCTCCTTCTCGAGGATAAATCTTAGCTGTTCTGGGAACATTAATTAGAGTGAACAGGAAGCTGCTTTCCATGTTATCCATCTTATTTTGGGGTTGATATACCCAAACCCCCTTAATTAATTAGTCTTGGAGAAAGGAGTTTCTCCTGTTGAAAGCTGAAGAGTCTTACTCAGTGCTTGGGTATTTAGAAAACTCTCCTACCTCCTTTTCCTCGGATGCCATTCTCATCTTCATCCAGATCGAGCTCTTCATCTGAGGGAATAAAAGTCGTCAGTATCAGCAATTAGTTGTTGACAGCCTCATGCTCTTTATGTGGATAAGCCTTCTTTCCCTAACAGAGCTCATTACAATTTCTCTTTCAAAGAAATAATTACCTTGCTTTTCATTTATTTAAAAAACAATTTTCTCTGACCTATAAAATGGCTCTCTTCTCCTGTTTCCATTCATTCATTCATTCACAAATGAATGTGTTTTTCCAAGTGCTTATGATCTGCAAGACACTGACTGTACCAGGAACTGGAGATAGACTGGCACAGTCCCTGCCCAACCAATTGGATTATTTAGGTGCCTATCACTATGGAACTCTCTTAATTCTTTTCCTCAAACTACTCCCTTTCTGGATTCTCTTCAAAATTCATTATCTCCACGAAAGCATCCTCTCTGGTTTCATGCACTCCAGTGTGTGTGTGTGTGTGTGTGTGTGTGTGTGTGTGTGTGTGATGTAAAGCATATATTTTAAATCTGATTATCTAGCCTTTAATATATCAATCTTTATTCAGCTGTAGCAGAAGCTAGTAATTCTTTGTTCCTAGCATGAGACTTGTAGCTTTTTTCTTTTTTAGCTATCTTTTTACTACTGTTATTCAGTCTGCCTAGTTCACTAGAGTGTAAGCTCCCAAGGGCAGATGGAATGATCTTTTAATTAATTGCTGTAGGTACACTATGGGTTCTAAGTCAATGCTATTGTCCAGGGGTTATATGGTAAACATAATTGGCCTAAGTTACTTTCCATTACTAATCTGTTTTTATTTCAGACTTCATGTTATTTGATAAAAAGGAAGTTGAGGCTTTAACGAAGAAAGGATGAGTCTTAGAATAACATCTATTTTATATGTAGACAAATATAAACAAAAATACACTCATTATTCTTCTTTTACCACCATTACCCTCCACACACATACATATACATGTACATAGTGGATGGTACATTTTGAGGGCTGAATACAAAGTATTTTGGCCTATATTTATTTTTCTTTCTCTCTCTTTTTTTTTTTTGTGGACATTAGGGGCCTTGCTTGTCTTGCTCCTTCATTGCTATTTGAACTTCTGAAGTGATAATGTGAGTTTATTATTATTTTTTCTGTAAATGCTGAGTTTATAGGGCATTATGAGGTCTAATGTGTCAGAATGAGGCAGGCCAACTTTAAGCTCACAAGTAAGAAGAAACACCATAACAATATGTTAGAACACTGTAGAACATTAAAGTAGTAAATTATTCCACATAAAAAAATGATACCACTGCGTGCAAAAAAGAAGATTAAGGGATTGCTACTCTAGGGGAAATAAATCACCTGTTAACACGATAAGAGAAAATACACCTGCCCTGCTAGATGCTGTGGGAAACGGAACACTTTGACTCAACTCTGAATTTCCATGGATGACCTAGCAGAGCTTCTTACTTATCACTTGTAGTGTGCACCTTCTCTCCTCCCTAAAGAATAAAGTTGTGAGATAATGGAGGAGTGAAATAAAATAGATGGTGCTGAAGTAAATGACATTAAACATCATTCTGTGCACATTGCCTTCTCTTATTACTTGTCTCCCTCCCTCCCTCCCTTCCTTCCTTCCTTCCTCCCTCCCTCCCTTCCTGTTAGGATGTGTTTCCTTGTTGATGTGGGACTAATCTCACAGGATTGAAAACACTAAAGCCAGAGTTGGTATGTCCTCAGTTTTAGACACACCCAATAATTTAAACAGGGAGCTGCTCTTTTGCTGATATAAAACAACTCAATCACAAGAACCAATAATTTGCTGTGCTTAGGCACTTTTGCAGAGAGAGTTTATTCTACCTCTGCTGTCTGTGCGCAGCTGTCTCTTCCTCCCAATTCTAATCAATGTAAATTGGGTCAGATCTCCGCTGTGAATTACAAATTGGATCCGAAGTTGGAGGGTCACTGTGCCTGCTACTCTGCCTTCTTCCCACCACCATTAGATGGGAAGCTACACCAAAGATCTTTTCTAAATAAATCAGACTTTATTGTAAAACTCGGCCACTGACAAGACATAACCTCATTAGCATTGATTTTAAAATAAATTATTGAAAGTGGCTTGCCTGCTCTTTGCATTCGTAAAATAGAAGAATGTAAATGTATTTGCAATTATAAAAAAGAAACCTAAAACTTGATTCCTTTCTCCTACCAGGCAATAACACTTAATCTAGTCATAATACAAAAATGGAAAAAATAAAAATCTACTTTATGTAGTTCAGTTCCAGACTAGATACTCTGATTTCCATTGTGTCTTTAAAGTCATGAAGAAAGAAAGCAGACTGCTGGACATGCAGCTTACCTATCATTTGCCATCATTACTAAGCTTTGTGGTGATGATAGATGTGAAGAAGCCCAGGCTCCACATCTAACTTTGTCCTTCCTGGGTGGGTGAAAGTGGGCACAGAGTAAGCAGCCTTGCAACTGACATGATAGGCTAAGTGTCTATGCTTTTTTAGGTTACTGTGGCTCCAACTCACACCAATCTTATGTACAACAGATATAAAATTTGCCTGATGCTGCCCCACCCTTATAATAGCTGCTGTACTTAAATCCTTTGTTGCAGTTACTGTGCTAATCCATCTCTCTTAAGGGTCGTTTTCTCTTTTACTGACTCTCCATTTTTCCAAACATGATGTCTTTTTTCAGGGATTTTCCCCTTCTCACAATATATATGCCCAAAGTATGTGAGACTGAAGTCCCACCATCCTAGACTCTGGGGGCAGTCAGGAAAAGGAGCATTCTTCCAAGATAGATTTGTTAGTTCTTTTGACAGTCCATGGTGTATTTAATGCTGTTCACCAACACTATAATTAAAAAACCATAAATTCTTCTTCAGCCTTCCATACCACTTTCACATTCATATAAAGCAATTGAAAACACCATGGCTTATTCTTTAAAAGGACATCTTTGCTCTTTAGCATCAGATTTGCCCAATGCAATGTGTCTTTTGATTGTAAAAGTAGTCTTTTGACTACTGTTTACATGAGTGTTGACTGTGGATACAAGTAATGAAATAATTATCAACTTCATTCTTTCCTCCATATATCATGATATTGCCTATTGGTATCATTGTGAGGAGTTTTGGTTTCTTGATGTTGAAGTGTAATCTATAGTCTTCAATAAAATTTTTCAGGTCCTCTTCACTTCACACGGTAATGCTGGTTGCTGATAAGTCTTCTCCCAACCCTGATACTAGTCCTCTTTATATAGTTCAGTTTTTCAACTTATTTGTTAAACATACAGATTGAATAAGTACTGTAAAAGGATAGAACCCTGACACACAATTTTCCTGATTTTAAACTCTGCAGTATTGCCTTGTTTTGTTCAAATAACTGCCTTCTGGTGTACAGGTGCTGCATAAGCACAATTACGTGTTTTGGAATGTCCATGTTCTCAATCTTACCCATAACTTATATGATCCATACAGCTGAATGTCTTTGTCAGTCAATAAAATTCAAGGAAACATTTTTCTGGCATTTTCTGCTTTTAACCAAGATCATCTGATATCAGCAATGATATTCCTTCTTTCAAGGCCTCTTCTAAATCCAGCTTGAATTTTTGGCATTTCTCTGTTGATGCACTGTTCCAGTTGTTTTTGAATAATCTTCATCAAGATTTTACTTGCATGTGATATTAATGACATTTGATAATTTCTACATTCGACTAGATCACTATTTTTTTTTAAATGGGAAAAAATACAGATGTCTTCTAGATGGCTGGTCAGGCATTTGACTTCCAAATTTCTTGGTCTACATGGGTGACCATGTCTAGGACTGCATCTGTTTGTTGAAGCACTGATTCCTTCAATTTCCGGAAGTTTTTTTTTTCTTATGTCTTCAGTGAAGTCTAAAGTTCCTTCAGCATTGTTGACGCTTAATCATATGCTACTTCCTTAAATGGCTCCAGGCTGACTAATCCTTTGAGGTATAGTCATTCTGCAAATACCTTATATCTTCTTTTGATGTGCTCAAAAGCACATATACTAAAATTGGAATGATACAGAGAAGATTAGCATGGTTTATGCCAAAAGAGAACATACAAATTTGTGTAGCTGTGCCTCTGGGGCCTTGTGGAACATCATCACAGGGAAGGTTGCAAAAGTTGGCTTTCACAGTAGACTGTGGAAGGCATATCCTTTAGTACCTACCAAGCTTCAGAGGTCACAATACAAATATGGAGGCATTCAGTTTATCTGGGCCCATTCAATAAAATTAAATTGGTATTTTCCACAGTTCAAAGTCAGGACAACTGACTGGTGACAGGGGAACCAAAAAAAAAATCTTTCATTTAAAAAGTGAGTGGGGTCTTTATAAGGTTTTTTAAAGAATGGTATTTGTAATGAATAGGTTGTTGGTTAAATTAAAAATTCTATTACGTGAAAAAAAAGGGAGTGGGTTAAACAACTAAATCCCTCATTCTCACTAATTTATGCAATTTTAACTTTTAAACAGACTATTTTGAAAAAAAATATTTCTTTTAGGCCAAGAGCTTGTCGAATTACTTTAAAAGAACACTATTAGGCATTTTAAGTATCACATCTACTAAAATACATCTTACTTTAAGACAGAATTGAAATTTATGTCCTAGCTCAACATTAACAGTAATAGATTATAATGGTCTTGGCCCTAACAGGGCATATGGGATCCCAACCTTACATAGGTTTTAAACAAATTAACCTCTAAAGATTACTGTCCACTTATTACATTAACTGCTCTACTTGATTCCCAAATATCTCAGTTCAATTGGGAAAACAGTTGAGGAAGATTCTGTTAACTGCATGAACATGTAAGAGAACCACAGGGTATCACAAATGAGCAACAGTATCTGGAGAGTCGATTTCAATCAACATTCTTGGCACAATGTCAGGGACACTAATGAGAGGCTGCAAGGAAGAGGACATTGAACCCTCCTCAGAGGGACAGAGAGGAGCCAGCTTCCATGACACCTGGCTCCTTTCTGAAGTATTGTTCTTACACCCCTCTC